GTCGCCCTGATCAAGAATATATATACTTTGTGGGGTCTGCCACGCCTCCTTCTGTCTGTTACATACATTTCAACAAAACCAATATACCCTGATTTCCCATTTTCAATGGATTCAGGGTATAAAAAGTTTCGCAATCATTCTCAGCAAAATCAACAGCACACAGCTCTCAACATAGAAATAAAACCATTAGACACTTTTGCCACGAAAATTAACTAAATACATAAATTAGATCCAGTTCATGCAAAATGTCAAAGTTGGTCCTGTTGGCAATTGTCAGCAGGAGCCGGGCAGCAGATAAAGTTTACGCCATATGACTTACTTTTTTGCTAGACATGGTCTCGCGTGACTAACAGATATCAAGGCTTGAAGGTCGTTAAAACTCAAGATGCACACTTGACATAAGCACCGAGAGCAGGCAGGCGGAGGGAAAGCAGCAGCAACTAAAGCCACTGCTAAGCAGCCAAATGCAACAATGCGTATCGTTCATCTGGGCTGGGGGTGGATGTTGCGTGTACATCCAATTATGAGCGCAAAAGTTTAAGTGCAACAAAAACAACAATAGCAACAACTAGCAGCGAGCAGTGGCAGCCGAAACAGCAAGAAGCAGCACAAGTAGAAGGCAAACAATGCTGGAATAGCCCGACGACCCCTAGCAACTACAAATAATACCATTAAGCAGTGAAATAAAAAGCAAAGTGGGTCACAGCCTCGGCTGGCGGCGGAGCCAAGAAGCATACGAGGATGTTGGTGTCGCCGCATTCATATAAATATGAATATGAATATGAATATGACTATGAATATGAATATGAATATATACATATATGTATATATTTATATTTACACATTAACGTTTCTGGGTGAGAGTATATATATATATATTTGTGTGTATGTGTGTTGGCACGTAATTATAAATATTTGTTGCTACCAACTTTGCTTACAAACTTGAAGTGTCATGGCCGGGGCAGCGGAAGCGGAAGTGGCGTGTCACGGCTAAGTTCCTGTCGCAGGACGAGTGTTGAAAAGTCAATGCGCGCAGTCAATGCCGAACTCTAAGCCTGCACATATACACATTTATATTTATATGTGTATATGTATGTGTATGTATGTGTGCACACACACTTCACGCAGCCCAATAATTCATATTTTATGGCTCCCTGACTAATTACGCACTCATAAAACGGGCTGTGGCCCCAGTACATTAGATTAAGGACGCAACATTTTCTATATACGAATTATGCATATAGAGCAGATACTTTCTTTGTTTTCCAGTGTCGTGTTTTGCTTAACCTACGCACCTCGCAGCCGTTTGAGGAAGTGCTCGAGGATTTGGGTCAAGTGCTGAAAATTAACGGCGCTAAAAAAATGTACACAGGCACTGGGCAGGAGGTAAGCTGGCGTGGGCTCCGAGAGCTCTTTCTTTTCATTTCCTTCATGCCAACCAATTTTCGTTATAATATCTTAATTAGCATAAAATAATATAAGAAGTGAAATATCACAAACCTTGCTAAATTCTGCACATTTGCGCTTGCTCTATGTGTTGACAGGTTCGCAGTTTTTCGCAGCTACGCAATGAATTCGCCGACGTAGACACATTCTATTTGGCCACTGGGACAGCCTTGATTGCTGGCTCGCCCATTCGACGCTCGCGCTCACGCCCTTCGGTGGTCGCTGCCGCCCCCATACTCTCCACAGAAGAACTGCCCAAGGTGCCGTTGCGTGGCACGCGACCTAGGAGCAAGAGCCGGCCCCGAATCCTCTATGCCCCAGAGAGTGAGATTCTCCGGCCGAATGGAGAGTACACCATGCTGGACATCATGAAAGAGGAGCCCACAAAAGTGACCATACGGGGTTTGAGGCGCACCTTCTATCCCCCCGTGCACCATGCACCGGCTGAAAACTCGCCTCCAGACAAAAAGCTACAGCTCCAGTGGGTGTGAGTATATATATTCCATAGTATAAATACCAACTCAGCACTTATTCATTCACTCACTATTTTTCTTTCTATAGACACGGTTACAGGGGAATCGATGCGCGCCGCAATCTCTGGGTACTGCCAAGCGGAGAGCTGCTCTACTACGTAGCTGCTGTGGCCGTCCTATTCGATCGCGACGAGGATGCCCAGCGCCACTACATAGGCCACACAGAGGACATAATGTGGTAAGCGAAACCATTTGAGATCTCAGTCATGGTTGTCTCATCTCCCATGTTGTTGCACAGCATGGACGTGCATCCGTCTCGGGAATTGGTGGCATCAGGCCAAAAGGCTGGACGCGATCGTAAGTCCCAGGCGCATGTACGCATTTGGAGCACCGAGTCACTGCAGACGCTCTACGTCTTCGGCATGGGCGAATTGGATACGGGAGTTACCGCAGTAGCATTCTCCCAATTGGTAAGCCGTGTGAAGCTCTATCCAATGGATCCCAAGTTACCTAATCCAATTTCCTTTCAGAATGGAGGCAGCTATATACTGGCCGTGGACAGCGGTCGCGAGAGCATCCTGTCCGTCTGGCAATGGCAGTGGGGCCACCTGCTGGGCAAAGTGGCCGTAAGTGACGAGCATGCTTTATCTCTTCTAGATTCTTCATCGATTGTCGATTGTTTTGCTTCACTTGCAGACCCTGCAGGAAGGCCTCTCGGGCGCTGCGTTCCACCCCTTGGATGATAATCTTATCATCACCCATGGCCGTGGTCATTTGGCCTTCTGGCACCGGCGTAAGGACGGTTTCTTTGAACGCACTGATATTGTAAAACAGCCGTCGCGCTCCCACGTTACCAGCGTTCAATTCGAGCCGGATGGCGATGTGATTACCGCCGATTCTGATGGTTTCATTACCATATACTCCGTGGACTCCGATGGCGCATACTTTGTGCGCACCGAGTTTGAGGCTCACAATAAGGGCATCGGCTGCCTGATTATGCTGGGCGAGGGGACTTTGCTGTCGGGTGGCGAAAAGGATCGCAAAATTGCCGCTTGGGACTCGCTGCAAAATTACAAAAAAATTGCGGACACAAAGGTAGGTAGTCGCTTTTACAATCTAAATACACGTATATATGTATGTATATACATTAATCGATGTGACGCCTCAGCTACCCGAAGCGGCTGGTGGCGTGAGGACAATTTATCCCCAGCGACCAGGCCGAAATGATGGCAACATCTACGTGGGAACGACAAGAAACAACATCTTAGAGGGCTCGTTGCAACGGCGCTTCACGCAGGTTGTCTTCGGCCACGGCAGACAGCTGTGGGGCCTTGCCGCCCACCCCGAGGACGAGCTTTATGCCACGGCCGGCCATGACAAGCACGTGGCGCTGTGGCGCAAGAACAAACTCATTTGGACCATACAGACGGGCTACGAGTGCGTGGCACTGGCCTTCCACCCGTTTGGCACGGCATTGGCTGCTGGCAGCACCGAAGGGCACCTGCTGGTCATCAACTGCGACAACGGAGCAGTTATGTTAACGCTACGTGTATGCGGCTCGCCTTTGAACTGCGTCTCATTTAACCAGGGTAAGCGTGCTTAGTTATCCCCACTATGCAAATACTATATGCCAAGTTTGTGCAACAGTCGGCGACATGATTGCCATGGGCTCGCAAAATGGAAGCATTTACCTGTTCCGTGTCTCGCGCGATGGGTTCTCCTACAAGAAAGTCAACAAGATACGCGGCTCCCAGCCACTGACGCATCTGGATTGGAGCATGGACGGGAACTTCGTACAGACAGTGACCATTGACTTTGATTTGTTGTTTTGGGATGCGAAGTCTTTGTCCCCGGAGCGAAGTCCCATCGCCATGAAAGATGTTAAGTGGCTGACCAACAATTGCACCGTCGGCTTCCTGGTGGCTGGCCAATGGAGCAATCGGTACTACGGCAACGCCAACACCATCATAGCCACCTGCTGTCGCTCCGCGGCTCACGATATGCTCGCATCGGGCGATGCGGAGGGATACCTGCGGCTGTTCAGGTGAGATAAGATACACGGCGCTTAATAATATGTGATAATATATTATCAATTGGCATTAACAGATATCCGTGCATCTCACCGCGCGCCGAGTTCCACGAGTGCAAGGTTTACTCCGGCATGCTGGCCTGCGTGCGTTTCCTCTGCGGGGATCACACACTTATCACTGTGGGCGGAACAGACGCTTCGCTCATGGTGTGGGACATTGTTGAGGAATAGCTGAAATGGCCACCGTGGCACTCTACTGCACAACCCGAATCGCGGTATCAGGACTACTGGCATAGACGCATCTCGGAAGTGTCCTCGACGTTTCTGGACAGCGACTCCGTCGACTATCAGTAGCGTGAATTGAGATTGTGTAGATTCGCTTGCTTCTTAAAACAAAACATAACAATTGGTCAGTAACACATTGGCTTACTATATTAGATAAATCGAATATTGAATAACGAGAGTATAAGAAAACAGTACACATATTTACGTTTCCAAGGCAACTTAAACAAAATTTATCTCGAAATATATGATCCGTTGATAATTATGTGAGGCTCTGATATGGGCAGCTCAAGTGCACCCAAACTTTGGCTTCCAGTTCAAAATCTTCCGTCAATATGCTTCCCGTCTTTGTCCTCCGTTTACAAAAATCTTTTATTGCATCCTGAGTTGGAACCTAGAAACAGACTTAAATGCCACTGGTGGATAATGTAACAATACAATGCGAACGCATCTATATCTATATATATCTCGATGTCTATAACTTCTATGCAGACTTACGACATATCATCATTTGACTCTCCTCCCATTGATGTCACATCCTATTTTAAAGAAACGCTGTAACTGACACTCTACACTCTACACACACAAATAACGAAAACTAAGTGCACTTAAGCATGTATTGAATGAAAAGAATTACCCATAAAATTATATTCGATATACATTGTTAATGCAAATTTTTAATATAAGCGTTGAAATAAATAAACCGTTTTAACAGAACAAATTAGCTCTAAATATCACTCAAGTTTTCGAGAGACCTGAAAAAACAATCGCGGTCAACAGTAATACATTTTTAAGTAAAGCAAGTAAAGGAAGCAGTATGAAAGTCTTAAATTTATATTTCAAATTTCAGGGCGCTATAGCATTTGAAAAGCCTCAACGTTAACAAAGAACAATTACAAAAAAAAAAATAAAAAATAAAAAAAATAAAAAAAAAAAAATTCCACAATATATATGACATTAGATGAAAAAATTTAAGATAACGGCTCTACCAATATGTCAGATAAAGTTTAGTAATGTTAATACAATAAAATATATGGTATACTTCTGCCCGTGACATATACTCAAATATATGTATATTCTAATTTAACAGCGTTTCGGTAATTTGTCAAAATCAGGTTGGCAGCACACAATAGTCATTGAGTTATCGATTGTTCAATATTGCAAATTGCTTTGCCGATAGTTGGTTAGGACATTCAGTATGTCCACCCTAAATTTATAATGCAATAGGCGCGATTTTTAAATATGCTCAATTCACAATCGCAGATTGTACTTGTGAATCTTGTCTTTCATAAGAAACTAAAAACTCATCTCCGTTTGTCCGCCTTTTCGTACATTTTTGTTAATATATGGACAGGTTCGCGTTTAGTAGCAGAGCACATTTCGAAATATGGCGCAACAATAGAAAACTTCAATCTGTATCGAATGGTACTTGCATCAAAATTATATTATATTAATTATAATACTATATAACATTAATATAATTAAAATATAATAAAATACTAGACAAAAAAGAAATATATATAAAAAAACATTAATTTTATTTCATTAGTTCTATTCATAGACATCTATCTATGTATGTATGTTCCTTAGGCGACAACGCTTCAGAAGCCAGTATGCAAAAGATAAATCTATATATAAAAGAGAGTTGTGAAAAGTTTTCCAGCACTTATAACTCGAGATCTGCTGGACCAATTTTCATGGTTTT